CAATCAATCAACCAATCAATCAATTGATTGATCGCGATCCTCCCCTTTCGCGCGTCAGGTCAGGGTGAAGTCCTCATTCACGAGGAGGGCTCCGATAGCAACTGATACATGCTCAGTTGAGCAATGTATATGGAGCCAAGGATCCACAAAGTGATGGAAAGGACGCCAATGGACAATGCAGCGTTAGCAAAGCATCACAAGCAATGTACATCCAGACATATATGACCTGACCTATCAGAGACTGACACGACATCCCATCATACACCACACATGTGAGAGAGGGAGGAGGGACCACATACATGGAAGAAAGGTCCCTCCTTGCACATGCACATGGGGGAGATATCACAGATGAAGAGATGGGGGAGAGGCGAGACGAAGATGGAGGTGAGGGAGAAGACCAAGATCGTGATAGTGAAGTCCAAAAATAGTCTCCTTGCCGAATGAACCAGTCAATGTCTGCCACAAAATGTGGAATCAGATCCTGGGCTTCATGCCCGACGTAACCTCTCTCTCTCTCACTCTGAAAGAAGAAGAAGAAGGAGGAGGAGGAGGAGGAAGAAGGGAGAAGAGATGGAGGGCGAGACGAAGAAGAAGAAGAAGAAGATGTCGTCCTCCTCGCTATCTCACCTGCAGGTAACTACCGCCCTGTACTAACTGCTGTCGTGGTCCCTGTGCTGGTCGCTGGCGTGGAGCGCGGCTATGGCGCCAGGTGAGTCCCGCCAGTGCAGGTATGGCCTCTGCCTCACCTCCTACCTACACCTTTACCTCTACAGCGCAGCGCTATGTCGCGCTGCTCCAGCAGCATGTCGCCCAAGAAGTGAGTTAACTCGAACTGTCTGCTGCCCTGCCCTTGGCCCAGCTATATGTAGCGCTGGGCCGGCCGGTCTGCCTCTGCCCTTTGTCCTACGCCCAAAACGTGGGCCTACTGGGTCTGGGTCCCGACCGGACGTCCAGACTATGCACCTGGCCTTGAGCGGCCTGCCTACTGGTGAACCTGGCCCAAGGCGCGGCCTTGGGGACTGCAGGTCCAAAACGACGCCTGAACAGACAAAAACAGGACAGCAAATAAATAAATGAATGCTGTCGCGAATCGAATCCTACGACCTAAGGGCCAGCCGTGGGCCTCCAAGGTGCGCGCCCGAAGGGCGTGTGGCCTGGAGGCCCCTAGCAACCGTCGGGCCCCCAAAATCGGGCCCATGTGCAGGCTTAGCATGTAACACCCAACCTCAACAACAATGCCTATGGCTTGTGGTGGCAGTTGCTGTTCCAACATAATCTCCCCTGAAGTTGGTGCCCTCCCAGCATCAGTGGTACCAGCATAACCTCCAGCAGCCTCACGATATTGTACTAGCATCAAGCCAGCGCAAGGCAGAATGATCTCCACAATGGTTGGGTCAACTCTATATAGTGTTGACTCACGTTGACCAGCAGTCTCCTTGGGTCAACGGCCCAAATAATCCAGAAGCCAAGGGCTTGGATGCAGCGCAGTCACAACTTTCCCTTGTCTCCCACTTGGACTGGAATCTTCTGGATACCTGCAGACAACCACTGATGTGCATCTGATTGAAGGTCGTGGCTGACCAGCGGGTTGACTTTGGGCCTGGAATCCCGTGCTCGGGTTGGCTCTTGATTTTCCAAGAGTAAATTGTCTCTCGGTACTGGACACAGCTTTTGACTCATACCCTGGTACCCCTAGACCCTAGGCAGTTTCTCAGACATTTTCCAGACTAGGGACATGACTTTTGACCCCTATTTCTGGCCTTTGACCAAAAGTGACGACCCTTGCCCTTGGCTTTGCTGATCTGAACGGGGTCCATTGCAACAGGATTTGTGCCCTCTTACCGAGTGGCATTCGCAATTTCTATGAAACTACTCATCTGACAGATATGAATTTGCCCGAGATTGTTATTGAGACCAAGATCACCGTGCACAGAGGTCGTCCAAGATTGCAATTGGAACAAACTATCGGCTCTCCTCCTCTTCGTCCGCATGATAAGCATTTTTGCTATGATTTTTGTATTTCTCTGTGCTTATCTGCTCCCAATAATCATGTGTAGATTCTGTTTTTGTAAGTTTAACATCTGACCCCAAAAAAAGAAAGAAAAAAAAGATAAAACTCCAATTATCAAGTGTTGTGTAATGAACCCAGTCAGGAGAGAAACTCGTCAAGTGTCGAAATACAAGATGTCTCAGTGCGGATAAATGTCTCCAATAATCATGAAATGTGATCTGTAGTACAATGTCTCATTACCATAGGACGAAGGTGATAGGAGGGAGAATAGAGGGTGGAGGGAGAATAAATGTGATCCATCAATGTCCTTGTGTAGATAGATCTCCCTCAATCCCCACTCCTTCGGGCATCTCCCTACGTCCACGTCAGCAAACAGTATCGCAGGAACGAGTCTGACATTATCTGGTCATAGCATAGTGCCACGTAGGCACAAATCTTCCATGAAGACGTCACAACAGCGCGCAATGTCGACAACATCAACAGGTAAGTTTCCCTCTCTCTCTCACTCGATCAATCCCACAGATCATGATCTCCCTCCTTGTCGAATCCCCCAATCTGAGTCGAAGACAGTGTGGCATGTGCCACGTCATCAATGTCGAAGACAACGTGGCAAGTGCCACGTCAGCAGCCAAGAAGACAGCTGGCGCCAGAAGCAGAAAGGCGCGTCGTCGTCGCACAATGCCAGCGTAGTGCCAGCGTCTTGCTAGCATCAAGCCAGCGTCCAGCCAGCCTCGTGCCAGCGTCAAGCAGCAAGTGCAAGACTGAATGTTGACCCCCAGGGGCTGGGTCAATAAATAATGTTGACGCCGTTGACCAGCCTATGGTCTCTCACGTACAAAGGCTCAGATTGACTCACAACCGACAACCTGGATCGCGTACAGTTACAGACTTCCACTTGGACCAAATGCTGCCTGGATGCCTGCGTACAACCAAGTGTGTGTCTGATCGGTGGGATGGACTGGGTCTGTGAAGACTTTGACTCGTGAGCCTCAATATTTCGAGTTACAGTTGACTTCGGTCATCTGTCGGGCGCAGGGCCTCTGACACCTCTTTTCAGGGGCCTTGTTTTCCACAGTCGGACGCAGGGCCTTGAGGCCGAATTGTGGCCTGCGGGTGGCCCCCTTGGCCGATGACATAGGCATATTTGAGCGGGTTATTACAATTGTGTGAGGAATGTGTCCTCATGGGGCCCCTAGACAACATGCACATGTTCTGGACTGTGGCCTACAACAAGCCTCATGCCCCCCCTAAGTGAAGGCAGGCCTGAATATTCACAAGAGGCCCTTATCTCAGCTTTTTCCAATGCGGGCCTCAGACAGTTGCTGCACGACAATTGGTTGAAGTGCAACCTGAGCCTTACCCTGGGCTCCTCCAGAAGAAGTAACTTCGGCGAGCAGTTCAGCCCAGGGCCCGGGTGGGTTTGCACTGGGCACACACATTGTGAGGCCGACACATCACGAAGTGGTCACAGGCCAACGAGAAAGCAGCGTTGTTGTCGTATCTATCCTGTGGGCCAGTGCAAATGCAGCAAACATTCGGAGCCTGGAAAATTATGGGTGTGCCCAACTGAAAAGGGCCCAGGCCCTCAACTATCAAGATGGGCCTGGGCGCAGACACTGGGGCCCGACCAGAAGCTACTGGAAACTTCCTTGGCGAGGCCCAGGGAGTCCAGCAGCAGCTGCCACTTCCATATAGGAAGCAAGGCAGCCAGAGAGAGGCATTCTGGCCGAGGCAGGCAATGCGTACACGCTGCTGCGATGCTGCGCAAGTATCTACATGCGTGCTGGCTGGCTGGGGCGCGCACGGGCGTTGAGAGGTGAGGGGCGGTGCAGGGTAGTGGAGCGCTAGCAGCCATAGCCGGGCTGCAGGGCCCGTAGGCAGAGAAGGGCGACAGGGGGTCTTCGGAAAGAGCCGCAGAAGTTGGAGGACAGGGGGTGATGAGGGTGACGAGAGTACGTACCTGGTGTATGTGGGAGTTTGGCATTGGAGTTGACGACATGTACATCGGTCTTCAAAGTCAAACTGAGCCTGTTGCATGAACGTAGGTAGGCTAGGTAGCATAAGTAAAGTAGGCTGGGCGCTGGGCGCCAGACAGAGAGGAGCGACATTGAATACTGCGTTGGTGTGGCCTGAGGGCTTGAATATTGGCTCACGAGGTCATTGTATTGCTCTTATTTGGATGGAATCTTGGTGCATTTGAGCTCTCTACTTGTACATGACTATCTGCACTTCTGCGTGATTTTGCAACTTGGTTTTCTGTATGTCACTCTCGCTCATATTCCATGCAATTTGGTATCAGAGCTGGTTTGAGATGGCCTATCTGCCGCTGGCGACATTGTTACTCGGTGTGCTGACGAGGCTTCTGTGCCAAAAATGAGGATACACTAGGCCTAGCGTAATGTTATGACACCCGGGCAGAGGGGTGAGTCGTAGGAAGGCTGTGGTGACAACAAATGTATATATGATGATGTGAGCATGTTGATGTGGCATTTTGGCTGAGGTGGCACTGCATTGCATTGTGGGTGGTACAATAGACTATTATGACTATGATATATATCATAAACTCTAAATAAGCTTTGAATAGAACGTCATCGAAATGCACATTTGCTCAATTGGCGAGAAATCTGTGGTTGGGGACAGCTATCTCCAGGTACGTTGTTCCCTTACCTTATCTACCCTCTCAATCTCTTCTTACCACGAGAAAGTGAGTCCAACCTTGAGTGTCCTCTATTTGTGAGGAGTCGTGAGCGCTCTACCTTGAGAGACGACATTCTTCCTGGTGGCGCATCTGGTAGGAGAGGGCGGTGCCTCTGAAGGACCCTGATTGCACGGGTCACGGTCACCATGCCAACCCGTGGGATTAGTACACATAGTCCATGTTGCTTTGTCCTTTGAAGGCTTTTTGCTGCGCTGATAGAAGGGGTGTGCGGACTGACTAGTCTTATGCAAACCGTCTATAAATATTTATGGCGGGGGTCTGAACTGTCCACTGGTTGTGATCGTTGTCCTGATTGCGACGTTAAATAATTCCTGAGGACCGTGGGGGTTGTCCTTAAAGTGCCTCTTGATCAGCCAGATCAGTCAAACGTAAGGCTCATTGCACGTGAGGATAAAGAACGGGCAGTTCTGGTCATAAGCATATGCCTTGGGCACAGGGGTGGGCCGTTAATGCACACCTTAGACATCGCTGCTTGATAATGCAGACAGACACGTTGGATACAGGGGAGGGAGATTCCAATTGATGCAATCACAAACATACCCATTGTGCATACATCTGCTCACATGATTTATTTTTTATTTTGATTAGTTGGTGGACAGACTGCTAACACCTAACAGACAGGTTAGACTAGAACTGTAGTGTTCTACCATAGCTAGTTCTTTTCGACACTGCTGTGAGTGAACTAGTCAGGGTAGTAATAAACATGTGATCAGTCTGTGTAAATGTTGCTGACACTAAGTAAATGGTAGTCTAGGTTACTTACCGGATATGAATTTATTTTTAATTATTTTTCAACCCGGTCAGACACACGCTGTGGCAGGCCCCAGTGAGGGTACTAGTGCAGACAGTGTTCTGCCTAGCTAATGAGCGGAACAAGAAGTGAGGAAGGAGAAGCTGACGATAGGAGGCAAACACGGCGGGAGACAAGTAGATTTCCGGTAGTGTTTCAGGTTTTGCTACCAGGGGATGAAAGAAGGTTCAAGGCCGAAGCAAGGGCCTGACATTTGCAAAGCGCTAGGGAGGCAGCAACAGTTGCAGAGCGTGCTTTAGCGGAGCCGGCAGCAAGTGCTCAAGCTATGGCTACTTCAGCAGCGACCTCCCAAGGTCAGCAAAGGCCAGGAACTTTCACCATGTCCTTTGTCTCAATGAGTGGGACAACTGCAGGACCCTCCACTAGTCAGATGGTTGGTTCGCGGTACAACTAGCCACCACCTCCACCCACTAGAGAGGAGTTAGAACTCCAGCAGGTAGAGTTACTCTGCATTCAGTTAGAGAAGCAACTTAGGGAAGCTACTATAAGACAAGATCAGATAAAAAACCGCAAAGCTAGATTGGAGAGCAGAGAGGCAGACAAGGCTGGATTGGAGAGGGTAGACGATTCAACCTTGGATGATCTAGGAAAGGTCTTTCGGTCGAACCTGTTAAACATGAATGAGTATCTTGACATTTGACTGGATGAAAGTCAGTGAACCCTTGACCAGATATTGAAGGCAGTGCAGGAAAGGGGAGGACCACTACCCTCCATACCAAGCGGGCCAAGTATCAGGACGCAGCTAGTCTACACATCGTCGGTTCCTTTGCTAGCGATATCAGGCCCCTTTGTCCCTCAATTTGGTGTCCCACTAGGTCGTACGTTAGCCGCAGGAACACAGGCGGTAGCCTCTTCATCTTCGAGTCCAGCTGCTGCAGCTTCAAGGCAGCAGGCGGTTCAGTCGCTGACTGAACCACAAGAAGCTTGGTATCCTAAGACCCCAATGAAACCCCCAACTGTCTTCACATGAGACAAGAAGAATGAGGCCGTCGACACTTGGTTGAGGACAGTTCCATTGTGGGTGAGGGGCAAGTAAACACTGCGCGAGGAGGAGGGGATCGTTGTCACTTCTTACTTAGAAGGGTCGGCAGCAAGATGGTTGAATGGGTACATAGCGACAAAGGGCTTTGCGAAGCGAATGAACGGCTGGGTGCAGACCCAAACTTTAGAAAGCTTTATGGACTTAGTTGAGTCACGATGGCACAACCCTCAGCAGGCTCAGCAAGCCACTGACACGTTGACCCGTCTTGATACTAGAAAGTACAAGACCGGGCGGGAACTCGCTAGTGACGTAGAGAAACTGGTAGTAGTGTCGGGAGTTCGCTATGATCCCCAAGTCCTAACCATGTTCTTGAGATGTCTTCCGACAAACATCAAGAATTTGTTGGTTAGTAAGGCAAGCATTGAGTATCACACCCTTGAGACCTTCAACAACAAGGCCTTGGATTTGGAGGCTAAGTTGGGAGGGGCTCAACAGTTAGCTGTGGACGGAAGGAAGAAGAAGCCTCCACAAGAGTGGAAGAAAGGAAGTCGTTTGATGATGGTTGACTCCAAAGGGAAGCAAACTGAGACCGACGACCTTTCTGAACTTGTGGAGGACACAGAGATGGGCAGCGAGGATAGTGCAAAGGGTAGCAACCTCGCTGCCATCACAAAAGGAAAGGCGGTTGGACGCGGGAAGGGCGGTCAACAAAAGAGTCAGCGACAGACTTAGAACTCAACCAAGACTCCGGCTTGGGTGAAGGCTGGTCCGGATCAAGATGTGTGGAGGGACAGAATTCGCGAGGGGCGTGCATTAATTGCGGCGAGTATGGTCACCAGCAATTTAAGTGCAAGAATGTGAAGGTCTCTCAAAAGATCGCACCCAAAGGTGGTTTTCAGTGATCTTTCGCCTAGAGTGGTGCATCTACGAGCACGAACTCGGGAAACACATCTGGCCAGTAGAAGTTATAGCTGCTTCTACTCAAGACGAAGTGGTTGGTATGCCTTCACCACTTCAAGGGCTGGCCGAAGCTATTAACTCTATGGTCATTCCACAGACACATCTAGACCAAACAACTCTCTGTTCGTTGGATGTGTCTGAAGCCTTAGAAGACTTCGAAACCGAATGGTCGGCAAGGGGCCCTCCTGAGTCTTGGGTGGCACTGTCAAGAGGTCCTAGAGGGGAGCACTTTGTTGTGGAAAGTTGGTGTAGGTGGCCGCAAGTGTGGTGCCTTTGTGGACATCGGCTCCACACGGAACTTCACAAGTCGTGACTGCGTTGGGGGGCTGCGCCTAGGGGACCGGGTGCAGCGCTTGGGTAGATATGTTGCATCTACCCTAGCCAATAAAGAACGCATGGTAGTAAATGACTACGTCAAGGACGTAGTCTGCACCTTCTATTATGGAGGTGGGGAACTGAATCACAGGTTGCAAAGCCCCAGGTTTACTAGGACCGAAAGGTGCTCAAGCATGTACTACCGGAAGGGAGGACAGTCAGACTTGCAAAGGATAAGGCTAGCAGTTTGATAGACACTTATGGGTGTATGTGTGCATCAACCTTTTATAATTACCCTAAACAAAACCAAGAGGAAGGTATGTACTTAGTCTTTGTCTCTGAGAAAGGGGAGGCCGTTAAAACACCCCCAAAGATAGAAAGCGTCGTCGCAAGATACCGTGATCTGTTTGAGGATCCTTCAGGAGTTATAGAAAGGGAGGTTGTCCATGCCATAGAAATAGTTCCTGGGAGCAAGATACCCAAAGGAAGGATCTATAAGATGGCACCGGCCGAATAAGGTGAACTAAGGCAACAACTGAAAGAGCTCACAGAAAAGGGTTGGATACGACCTAGTACCTCCCCCTTCGGCTCACCAGTCCTATTTGTCCCGAAGAAGGGGGGGACACTCAGGATGTGCATTGATTATAGAGGCCTCAATGCCATCACTGTGAAGAACGCAGAGCCTCTACCGCGCATCGATGACCTTCTGGATAGGGTACAAGGATGTAAGTATTTTACTAAGATAGACTTAAAGTCTGACTACCATCAAATTGCCATTAGACCGGAGGACCAGCACAAAACCGCATTTCAGACCAGGTACGGTCTGTACAAGTTTGTGGTGATGCCCTTTGGCCTTTGCAATGCGCCGGGTGCATTCGAGCACGCCATGAATTGGATATTCCATGAGTGCTTAGATAAGTTTACCGTCGTGTACCTCGACGATATACTTACTTTTAGTAGAACAGTCGAGGAGCATGCTCAACATTTAGAAACTGTACTTTCACTCCTGCGACAGCACATGTATAAGATTAACTTAGAGAAATGCGAGTTCGGTCGCACTAAAATCTTGTACATGGGTCATGAGATATCCGCGGAGGGGATAAGGCTTGAAGATGCCAAGGTGGCTACCATTCGTGACTGGCCACGACCTCAGTATATGACCTAGGTCAGATCATTCTTAGAGATGACTGACTACTACCGCAACTTTGTAAAGAACTATAGTACGGTGGCCAGCCCTTTGACTGGTCTAACTCGCCTTGACACACCATGAGAATGGACTGACGAGTGTGAAGCTGTTTTCAAGCGATTGAAGCATGCTCTCACGCATCATAAGGTTCTCATGGTTCCCGATCCTGAGAGGCCATTTGTTGTGACTACTGACGCAAGCCAATATGGCATTGGCGCCGTGGTGGCTCAGCAGGAAGGGAAGAAGTTGAGGCCAGCCGAGTACATGAGTAAAAAGATGCCATCAAAGAAATTGGCTAAGTCCACCTATGAAAGGGAACCCTACGCCCGCTACAAAGCACTTGTCCACTGGAGATACTATCTGTTGGGGAGGTTCTTCTATTTGAGGACTGACCATCAACCACTCAAGTGGATCAAAACACAATATGTTCTCTCTGATGCACTCAAACGCTGGATTGAGGTCATAGATCAGTATGACTTCAAGCTAGACTATGTGAAGGGAGAGTACAACAAGGTTGTTGATGCACTGTCACGTAGGGCAGACTACCTGGGTGCACTAATAACCGAGTTTGGCTTATCTGATGATGTAACTCGATCGATGGTGGAAGCCGACAAGGAATATCTTGTCACGATGGACATCATACGCAAACTTGAGGCCCAAGACAAGACAGGGTTTAAGAGATTAGTTGTTCCAGTTAGTGAGATTTTGCGTAGTTTATTTTTAGGAGAATGTCATGATGCAATGGGACAATTTGGTAGTGCAAATCTGGTACAAGGATTTTGGTGGCCTGGTATGCTAGACGAAGCCAAATAGTATGTTCAAACTTGTCAAGTCTGCCAGCGGGATAAGCCGCGAACTCAAGCTCCGCTTGGGTTGCTTAAGCCTTTACCCATTCCTGCTGGTCCGGGACAGAGTGTCTCCAATGGCAAGTGGCATATCTTCATCATAGTTGATAGGTTGACTAAATACGCTAAACTGATTGCCATGCCAGAGAACGGAAGGACTGAGCACGTCATCAAGTTATTTACGGATAACTGGGTGCGTGATTTTGGACTGCCAAAGACTATCGTCAGTGATAGAGATATCTGTTTCACCAGTGAGATGTGGGATAAGGCTGCATAACAGATGGGCAGCCAACTTCAAATGACTTATGGGAATCATCCCGAAGCCAACGGGCAAGCTGAACACTGAACCGAGTGGTGCAGCATCTGCTGAGTCACTACATTAAGCCCAACCAATATGACTGGGATTAAAAGTTACCTCTCGCCAGCCTGTACAACAATGTTGTGCACAGCACCACCAGCGTCAGTCCGAATCAGCTGCATCTGGGTGGAAGCCTAGATCTGCTCTAGACCTCCTCCTGCCTGAAAACCAATCTGCTGCAACTCCTATAACCATTGAATTTAGTGTCCAGTATGAGAAGTTGTGGCAGCAAGCTGTCGCACACATCAAGAAATCTCAAGAAGCAATGATTGCTTCTGAGAACAAACATCGACGACAGTCCACATTTCAGGTAGGGGAACGTGTCTGGGTTAAGTCTAGTGAGTTAGGACAGGAATTCGGCATCTCTAGGAAACTAATGGCTTAATACTTTGGTCCTTGGGAAGTCTTGGATATTGTGGGTGGTGAAGAGGATGGTCCCTCGTATGTGATTCGAATCCCTAGTCACCTACGCACATATCCTGTGTTTCACGCCTCAAAGCTTGCACCTTTCACTGAGACACAGCAGTTCCCATCAAGGAGATCTATGCTGCCCCCAACCATGGATGGCCACATGGACGTCGACGACATTTTGGAGCACAGAGACATGCCTGTTCCTAAGCCTGTGGGCAGAGGAAGACTGCCGAAACCCAAGAGGGAATACAGGGTCAGATTCAGGCATCATACGGATCCAAAAGAAGACCGATGGTTCACCAGAGAGGAACTAATTGAGACAGCACCTCAGATTGTGGCAGACTATGAGAGTCGGTTGAAGGGGAAGGCACCTGCATAGAAGCACCTCAGCGGACTTTCGAAGCTAAGGGGGATAGAATGTGAGGAATGTGTCCTCAGGGGGGCCTAGAGAACATGCGCATGTTCTGGACTGTGGCCCCCAACAAGCCTCGTGCCTGCCCTAAGCAAAGGTGGGCCTTAATATTCGTGAGAGGCCCTTATCTCAGCTTTTTCCAATTCGGGTCTCAGACAGTTGCTGCACGACTGTTGGTTGAAGTGCAACCTGAGCCTTACCCTGGGCTCCTCCAGAAGAAGCAACTGAGCCAGGCAGTTGAGCCCAGGGCCTGGGTGGTTGTGCACTGGGCACACACATTGTGAGGCCGACACATCACGAAGTGGTCACGGGCCAACGAGAAAGCAGCATTGTTGCCGTATCTACCCTGTGGGCCAATGCAAATGCAGCAAACATTCGGAGCCTGGAAAATTCTGGGTGCGCCCAACTGAAAAGGGCCCAGGCCCTCAACTGTCGAGATGGGCCTCGGCGCAGACACTGGGGCCCGACCAGAAGCTACTGGAAACTTACTCGGGCAGGCCAAGGGAGTCCAGCAGCAGCTGCCACTTCCATAAAGGAAGCAAGGCAGCCAGGGAAAGGCATTCTGGCCGAGGCAGGCAATGCGGACACGCTGCTGCGACGCTGCGCAAGTATCTGCAGGTGCGCTAACTGGCTGGGGCGCGCACGGGCGCTGAGAGGTGAGAAGCGCTAGCGGCCAAAGCCGGGCTGCAGAGCTCGTAGGCAGAGAAGGGCGACAGGGGGTCTTCGGAAGGAGGCGCAGAAGTGGGAGGACAGGGGGTGATGAGGGAAACGAGAGTACGTGCCTGGTGTATGTGGGAGGTCGGCATTGGTGTTGACGACATGTACATCGGTCTTCAAAGTCGAAGTGAACCTGTTGCATGAACGTAGGTAGGCTTGGCAGAATAAGTAGAGTAGGCTGGGTGCGACACTGAAGACTGTGTTTGGTGTGGCTTGAGGGCTTGAACATTGGCTCACGAGTTCATTGTATTGCTCTTATTTGGATGGAATCTTGGTGCATTTGAGGTCTCTGCTTGTACATGACTATCTGGATTTCTGCGTGATTTTGCAACTTGGTTTTCTGTATATCGCTCCCGCTCATATTCCTTGCAGTTGTTTCAAAATTAATATAAAAAAAAAATCTATACTAAGTTATGAACTTAATGTAAGTGGTTGCAGTTACGGTGAATTGAGTGCAGTAGCGAACTCGCTTGCTTTGTGTTACTACTTTGCAGAGAAAGAAAGATGGAGCAGAGGCAAGTAGCTCAGAGAGTGAGGGGAAGAAGAAGCGCAAGAAACAGAAGGGAAGTGACGATTCTGACTCTAGCTGCAGCAGTGACGACTCCGAGGATAATGTGAAATCTGGTCCAAAGAGACTTTCGTCATTCTTAAATAATGGTGAGGAAGATGGTGACGACGTCGAAGACGAGAATGCCCCAAATAAGCTCAACATACAGCTCAAACGCCAGAGGCCGAACCGCTTCGCCGAACTTTTTAACTCGGTCAACACTTCTCCGGGAGTCACTGCTGCCGGGCCAGCAGTGGGAGCAACACCAGTCTGCCCGCCACAAGCGGTGGCGACTGCAGCACAACTCTCAGAGATAAGGCCAGTACAGCTGCCAGGAGCTCCAATGGTCCCGAATCATGTCGGGCTTATACCATCGGGTGTGATGCCGCAGTTTCTTATGGCAGCCAACCAACCGATGATGTTTGCTCTGCCGACCGGTCAATTCCTCATGGGTGCAAATGCTGCCGGAGGTGCAACACCCATGCAGCAAGCCGGTCTACCGGGGTTGCAGAACATGGGTCTCCCATTGGGAGCTGGCATGCATCTTCCAGGAACCTCCCCGTTTGTGCGGTTCCCTCATATGATGCCATTCTCTCTACCGCCCGGGCTTGCCAATCCGCAGGCTGCACCGTTATTCCTCCAACAGCAACAACAGCAGCAGCAACAGCAGCAACAACAACAGCAGAAGCAGCTTCTGGTGCAGCAGCAGCTACTACTACAGCAACAGATGCTTGCTCAGCAGCAGCAGTTTCTAGGTCAGATGCGTCCGTCCACCTTGCCTGGCCTTCAGCTTGGATCTATGCCTGTACCGGGAATGATGCCGTTGGGCATGCATCCAAATCTCGCAATGAGTTCCATGGCCCTACAGCAGAGCCTGACCCTTCCGCCAACGGTTCCATTGTTGGTTCGTCCGGCACAGGCATCGGTTCCGAGGCCACCAGAGAAGAAGTAGTCCTCGTGAGGAGAAAGCGGTGTTCATCTTGTGGAAGAAAAGAACCGCTAGAGCGAGCGTATTTGGAGAGGGAGTGTGTGTGTCTTGTGTGTGTGGGGGGGGAGTAGCCTGCGGGTTGGATGCATAGGGTGGGTGGGCATATGAGAAGCAGTGTCCTCAAGCTACACGAGAAGCAGCTGCTGCGTCTTCAAGCTACATGAGAACCAGCTGCTGCGTCTTCAAGCTACATGGAACGACTGATCGGGTGTGCAAAGACTGCGTGCCTAGCAGCAGTGCCGACTATGAGGTAGCATGCATCTTTCCAATTGCAGGTTTGATGCACTGGGCGGGGATAGCACCTTGCGTAATGAGAAGAAGCTACCTCCAAGCGATATGACAACAACAGACCGAAAGGGAAAACACTTGCGTGCTTAGCAGCAGCTGAGGCGACAACTCTGAAGTTGTGCATGCATCCTTCCAATGCGCATTCAGGTATGGATCACGCGCCTGAAGAGAGAAGCGAAGGTCTCTTGTTGCTCCTGGTGCCATTGCTATCAGTCCACGCCAGTGGCATGCAATATTGTGCGGATGAATCGAAAGAGCTGGAGTGTTGAGAACATGTGCCTGCAGAGAAGCAGCTGTATTAGGAAAGCGGTCAAGACAGTTTATGCCTGTTGGGAAGGAAAGCATAGGAAGGCGGGGAAGGGAAAGAAGTAGGCTTCAGGGAAAAGGGGGGAAGGGCGAATAGGTTATTGCCCGGTTGCCAAACGGGGTGCGCAGACCGGTGACATACAGATCAAATGAAGAATTCAGATCCTGCTTGGTGCAATAATGTTAAGGGGAGTAGGGGCTACCCCCGTTAATGGAGGAGTGAGGGAGAATCGGAGGCACCACTTTGCTTTGCTTGCTTACAGAATTGTGTCCCCAGTACGAAATTGCACACATGGTTCGGTGATGAGCTCGTGTGTTGAGGAGGAAGACGTCTTCATGTGCGAGAGTTGTTACAAGAAAAGATGTCTTTGTTATCATGGAGGGGACTAGCATAGCAGCTGGTTTGTGGAGACTTCTCCAGAATGACTGTTCTTCTTTCATAAAAAAGGGGGGATGAACATCGGTGCAGCAGAGGGGGCGGCCTCATTCAGTCGGCTGGAAGACTATGTACCTACCTCTTTCTGTGGAGGGTTGGTCGGGTTGGAAAATGAATTTTGCCGCGCCACACCGCCCACCAAACACCAACGTATTGAACACCACTGCCAGGTTCCGACACATCAAATTGTTCATGTCTGGCGAGTGGTGCGACAAGCCCCTTAATAAAGGAAGTGTGTGCTGCTGGTGCCAGTACCGGATGCTCCTCAGATACGTACATGTGGAGTGGGCAGAGCCTTAAAGTCGCCAGTCCTCGTCTATCTTCTTACATGAGTTTCGCCAGTGGTCCCCAGCCCTGCAAGAAAAGACCACAGGATGGATAAAGGATGGGTTAAAGAAGAGGGGGCATGAAGGACTGGGTGGGGTAAAGGAAGGTCGATAATGAAGGATGGAGGGGGTAAAAAAGAAGGGGCCACCCTGCAAGAAAGGATCAGAGGGAGGATAAGGTGAAGAAGGGGGAATGAAGAGGGGGCATGAAGGATGGGTGAGGTAAGGAAGGTAAATAATGAAGGATGGATGAGGTCAAAAAAGAAGGGGCTACCAGGCAAGAAAGGACTAAAGGATGGATGAGGTGAAAAAGAGGGGGGAATGAAGGACGGGGTAAAGAAGAGGGGGCATGAAGGATGGGTGGAGGATGGATGACGTAAAAGGAAGGGGGGCTTGCGACTACCCAGACGGATGGGGTACAAGGATGTGTCAATCAATCAAGTGGGGTATGCTATATGCAGCAAAAAGGAAAAGACAGTGGAGGGTAGGAAAAAAACAAAACAAACAAAAAGGCATGTGGTGTCATTATGTCAGTTCGTTCTGCCATGGTCGTCATGAATGGCTTGATGGAAAGGGAGGGGCATATATGGTGAGTGTGGAGGGAGATAAAGACAGACCCCAATCGATTCTGCAGACTGGAATCGAGAGTAGTTCTAGAAGACGCGGGTTACCTCCGATAACAAGGAGAAGCCTCCACGATATAAAGGTGAGGACTCCATTGTCTTCCTCTTTCCACCGAGAGAAAGGTCTCCTCCCATTTCTGTCGCCGCCACCAGGTTAGTGAGGGAGGAAGAGGGGGCATTTGTGACATGCTACCGGTTTGGTGGCGGAAGGCCTGTTTATGAATATGGTAATTATTACAGGTTTGTAGCCCTTGCCAACTGCCTCACACGTATGGAAGTGGATGATCATCAATTCCGTCGTCGACTCTTTGCCGGAAAACGGAGCATGTTTCATAGTGTGCTGCTGGACAGTCGTTACAGACAGAGCTTTGAAAACACAAACAGGAGCGTTTGGTCAAGAACAGTGCAGTGTTCACTTCCTGAGCCAGAAAGAAACCAGTGGACGAGACCGGGTAGGCGTTATGGCAAAAAGAATAGGGAAAATGACAGCCCAGAGCTGTGGGAAGTTGGAACGCGCGATGGGTGCCCTCTGTATCGACGGGAGGAACCAAGAGGGGTGGGTAGGGGTTAGTAAGAGAAGGGGGGCTATCTACGTTTCTGACCTTCGTGTCTGATGTCTGATCTCCGTGTCTGACGTCTGATCTCCGTGTCTGACATCTTTTAGAACTTAGCGTGCAAACCGATCTGTAAATGACGAGCAAATCTATAACAGCAGTCTCCTGTTCAAGTCATTTGGACAAGCAGGTCAACACCACGTTAAGGGCAACGATCCCCGTGGCACGGGACATGGACAAGGCTAGGCTGGGCTTAGCATGGGTCTCCACCCTCATGCTATGCCGAATCTATGTTGAAAGTATGCCGAAGCTATGCCAAATCTATGCCGAAGCTATGTTGAAACTATGCCGAAGCTATGTCGAAAGACTCAAAACTATGCCGAAGCTATGCCAAANCAAAACTATGCCGAAGCTATGCCAAATCTATGCCGAAGCTATGTTGAAACTATGCCGAAGCTATGTCGAAAGACTCAAAACTATGCCGAAGCTATTTCCAAACTATTAAGCTATGCCGAAGCTATGTCGAAACTATGCGAAAGCTATTTCGAAACTACGCTGAAGCTGTGCCGAAGCTATGTCGAAGTTATGCTGAAGCTGTGCCGAAGCTATGTGGGAGTGGTTAGCGTGGGTCACCCACTCACCCTCTAGCTATGGCAAAGCGTCGTGCAGGTGGGGTGGTGCCATTTGAATTTGTTGTTGTGATTTCTCTTGGAAACGATTGTTGTCACAGCGTCATGTATATCCAATAGTCCTCATGCATCCACTCTCACTGCACTCCTCCTCTTGAGTGAAAGCACAGGAATTTGGAAGCTCAGCCAAAGGGAGTGAATATGCCTGCCTCGGGCGGAAGTCACAGGACGACTTTCGTGCATGTATCTGATGGCAATTTCCAATTGATCCTGTCTGTATCTGGCCGTAATTATGTCCGTAGAGAAGTTGAAAAAGAGTTTTCCCGCGAGTATGCCTTCTCAGTATGCGACTTTTTCCATTTGCCTCCATTGGGGAAATCATAGTTGCTGTGTAGAAGAAGGGTGTAGAAAGTTGGAGAACACATCTGAGTCTGTACGCGAGCTCTTTCTTGTCCATCAAGGGAAAAAAAAACTCGTTAGCTTGTGGTGGGAAGAACCATAACGTTTGAGTTTGATGTACCTGCCTGTAGTTGTCGGTAGGTACAGGAGGAGACTGCTGTGATCGTCATTGTGTTCGCATTGAAGAAATGCGGCAAAGTCCTGGAATCATTGTTGCACTGGGGACACTGAAAAGGAAGAAGGTTGTTTGAGGATGGAATCGTGGAACCCAACCCTTGCTTGTTAGTTTGATGCCAGAGAATTTCTGGTGTAGTGAGCAGTAACAAAGTTTTTTTTTTTTTTTTTTTTTTTTTTTTGTTGTTGTTGTTAATATAGTGGCAGGGAATTTTGTTGTTTCCTAACTTGTCGTCATGGATCTGTTATTCGCAGATCCCGCTTCCTTTTTTTTTTCCCTTACAAGATCCCTCCTGCTGGATGGGTCTACATCCTAAGCTGTCTGTCAGAGGGGCGTGCAAACACGTGAGAGAGAGAGAGAGAGAGAGAGTAATGAGGAGGCTTGTTGACAGCTGACACACTTTGTGCTAGTGGTCTGTTAGAGGGGTGTCCGAGCGCACGCNGAGAGAGAGAGAGAGAGAGAGAGAGAGAGAGAGAGAGAGAGAGAGAGTAATGAGGAGGTTTGTCAGCTGACAGCTGACACACTTTGTGCTAGTGGTCTTGGTGTGGTCGCTTTCGCCTGTGCGTGAATTTTTTTGAGTATGTGCGACAAGCGAACGGCCCCAGTTGTTTCTGGTTTTCTCTACTAGGATAACGAGCGCATCTTTCACACAGAAAAGACAAGACAAGAAAAGAAAAAAAGGTAGCACATGCATCCATTAAAAAAGAACGAAGAGTAGTGCATGCATTCTTCAGATCAGAAAAAAAAAAAGGGAAGAAAAAAAGGTAGCAATTGCATCCTAAGACCACCTGAGCCAAGTGGATGCTGAATGTTGTGATGCCATCATCATTTAGCGAACTTTCGGTGTAGTTTCATTTTCGAATGTGAGATAGTTGCATGCATTTTGTTTGCCAAGCAGGCAAGTTCTTTTTCTTTTTTTTCTTTTTTTTTCCCACTGATCTCTGCGGGTCTTCTTGGAAAGGGTCTTTTGTTGTCTTTTTTTAGGAGGGCCTGGGGGGGGTAGGGGGTTGGGAAGGAGAGGAAGGAGGTACATCGCAGTCACTCCTTTGCTCACAGACTTTGGTGATCAGGTTGAAATCTGACTCGCTCATTTTGTCTAGCTTGCTTCCATACTTGGTAAGAGTTTGAAATTTCAAGGACCCTTTTTGGAAAATTTTAGGACTTTTTCCAAAGGTGCCGTTTTTTGCTTTTTAGGGGGGGGCGTGGTGTGATTGGTATCTTCTTCTTTGTAATGAACCCAATCTGGAGAATACTCGTCAAGGGTCGAAGTACAAGATACCTCAGCGCTAAATAATGTCTCCAATAATCATGAAATGTGATCCGTGATACAATGTCTCGTAACCAGTAGACGAAAGGAGAGGAGGGGGAGAAGAGACTTAAGAGGGTGGAAGAGTGAGTATCCATCAATGACCACATAGATAGTAGTCCCTCAATTCCCTTTCCTTCTCCGGGCCTCCCCTCGCCTGCACGTCAGCAAACAGTGTCCAAGAAACGAGCCTGACAGGGCCTGATCACATCAGCGTGCCACGTGGCACAGTTCTCCCGTGAAGACGTTACAGCAGCGCGCAGTATCAGCAACAGGTAAGTACCCTCTCTCCCTCTCAATCCAACCACAGATCCCGATCTCCCTCCTTGTCGTGTCCAACTCAGCAATGAAGACAGTGTGGCGAATGCCACGTCAGCAATGGTAGACAGCGTGGCATGTGCCACGTCAGCAAGCCAGAAGACAGCAGTCTGGCGTCGTCATCGCACAGTGCCAGCGCCCAGCCAGCATCAAGCCAGCGTACAGCCAGTGTCTAGCCAGCATCAAGCCAGTGTCAAGTCAGCGCCGCAAGACTGAATGTCGACTCCCGGAGGCAGGGGCCTTTAGTGCTGACGAGGTTGCCCCGCCTCTGGTCTCCCACCCACAGTGGCTCAGATTGGCTCACGCCGACGGCGTGGATCTCGTACAGTTACAGACTTCCACTTCGTGTAGATGCTGTCTGGGTACCTGCATACAAACAAGTGTGTGTGTCTGACCGGCGGCCTGGGATGGGTCTATGCAGACTTTGACTGGAGGGCCTCGTATGGTTGACTTTCGGTCAACTGTCGGGTGCAGGGCCCCTGAATTCAACATTTGGGGTCCTGCCTCTTGGCCATGCGGGCGACGTCGGGCCTGCGGGTGGCCCTTAGACAGTCAACGAGGCATATTAAAGCGGGTTATTGCATTCCTGCCGGCCCAATTTTTGAGCTTCCATCGCAGAAATACATTAACTTCCTTTTAGCCCGCGCTCATATGCAGCATTAATATCAGAGACTCGCTTCCTTTTCCACTCCGCACTTGTGCAAACAGATGGTGAGTCACACTGGCGCACAACGCCCACTCAAAGCCCATAGATATAGAAGTCGAAAACACAGTTCAGATACAAGCTCGCTTCAACAGGCTGTGGCGCGTCAGCGCCTGTACCCTCCAACCCTCGTCTCTCTATCCAACACCACTGTTCGCACTCACTCAACTCCGGATCACCCTGGATATCCCACACGCATACGCACTCACACACACTCCCACTAACACACTCGCCTATCAGCTATGGCGGCTATGGCCGCTGTCCTTCACTAGCTATGGCTAACTATCTCCTTCAGCCCACTTTGTCTTCGGGCACTCTGCAGACCACCTCGCACAAGTCCCTCAAGCAGCGCTTCCGCATGGCTTACGCAGGAATGAATGAATGGTTGGGCGCTTGCCTCTTGATTTATACTTCTGTAACTCGTTGGTCTGCCCCTTTCCCATGCCCTTGGTGCACACAGTCCCACATGGTACTTGCTCAGACTGGACTGTGACTGACTGACTACATGGGTTTGCACTGCCAACTCGATGCAGTCGCACTGTCGACGTAACGCAGTTGGGCTCACCACTTGCCCACTTGCCTCTGTCCAAATGTGAGACAACTTCGAAAGGCCACTTCCGGACCTTCCGGAAGTCTGTGGACTTGGCCTTTCGAACACTGTAGCAGCTATGACCTTGACCTCTCAGGACTGTAGCAGCTACGAACTTGACCTTTCAGAAGAGCTATAGCTACGACTTCTAGAACTCGCTAAGACCTCTATCTGACAGGTCTACAGATCGAACCCCAACTAACTTACGGACTTACGACAGCCTACCAACTGTTGCGAATACACAAGTCACAGGTTCAACTCTCGGGGTCGACACAGGTACTGTACACAGGTAAGGTAAGAAACTAGGGATCGAGCCTTGGGATCTGCATTCGCTACTGCTAGCAGGTGAATACCGTTTCACTCCCGCCGGCCTAAATTCGAGGTCCTCCGAGAATAATTCAGTCCAAGACCGGATTTTTACCTTTCCTTTCTCTCTCGTAGGCTCTAACTACGTCGGGAGCTGTTTCTAGAAGTTCAGTTCTAGTAAACCAGCAGTCGTCCTCGGGTTGCTGATAAGCAAATCGGACCTTATACTGTTTCTGTGGACAACCTCTACCTCCTGTTCTGAATACGTTTGCACCTGCAATGCCCTCAATGTCATATCTTCCATCATGTCCAGAGGGATCATGGATCTTCTCGATGGAAACTGTTGACTTGTGACACATGGGAGCAACTTCGATGTATGAAACACAGGGTAGGTGTGGAGGTGTGTTGGGATCTCTATCGTATAGGATGGTCCATCCTCTCCGCCCTTGACTTCTAGAACTGGCGACGGTCCTTTGTATGTTGGCAGTAACTTGTGCGAAATGTTTTCCTCAGGAGCAAAATTCTTTGGACTTGACCCACACTAGGTCGCCTACTTGAAACTGTGACGGGCGACGGTGCTTGTTAGCCTCTTCTATCATTCTGTGTTGGGCCTTCATGAGGTTCTCAACAACGGTAGCTAATTCCTCGTGCTGTATCACAAACTCCCAAGTACCGGGCGGTAGCCTATGAATCTGGTCCCGGTTAAGTCCTTCAAACGGTCTGCGCAGTCTAAAGGACTAATGCTCATTGGGAGGACGACAAGTGGCTAGGTGCACGTTGTTGTTATATGCACTCGCTACCTTGGCCAACATAACTTGATCTGGTCTAATATGCATGTGCAAGACTTGTTGCAGGATCTTATTCATCTGCTCAGTCTGACCGTTAGTCTCTAGGTAACGGCCCGACCACTTGTAGAGAAGTACCCATGTTCCAATATTTTCTCAACTTCGTAGTCTGCATTCATTGAAGGACAAATTATTGTCCCTCCACATATGGTAGTAGTTTAGACGCGTGAAATACAGGATAGATCTTGAGGTGTGCGGGTATGTCGATTCAATATGAGGGTGTATCTGCATCCCCAATCACCTTGAGAACTTCCCAAGGTCCATAGTAAACAAACAGCAGTTTCTGAGACATTCTCTTCCAAGCAAATTTTTTTAGACTTCACCCATACAAGATCACCTTTTTTAAATTGAGATGACCTACGATGTTTGTTGGCATGTTCAATCATTTGCAATTGGGTTTTTTGTATATTTTCCTTGACTTTCTTTATGTTTTCTTCATATAGAACAACAAATTCTCGAGTGCCTGAGGGTAACTTTTGAATTTGGTCCCGGGTGAGAGCATCAATGGGACATCGAGGCTTCCAACCTTTGTGCAGTGTAACATATGTTATTATATGCACTTGCAATCTGAGGTAAGTTCTCGTCTCAATCTATCTGATCGGGTCGTACATACATGTGCAAAAGCTGTTGGCACAGACGATTCATCAGTTTTGTCATTCGTTTCAGGGTGTCTACCTGACGACATGGTTAACCTAGTGCCATAGGCTTCCATCAACTTTTGCCATTGTAGACCGTTGAACCGTACATCCCTATAAGAAACGATGATTTTTGGAATTTCATGTTCTGAAACTGATTACATCTGAAACTTTTAGATGACAAGTTTCGTCTTAGCTTCGACAGGTAAGAGAATGAACATGGCATACTTTTATAATCGATCGACAATGACCATCACCTGACTGTTGCCATTTCGGCTCTTAGTGAGACTCATGAAATCAATTGAGATAGACTCACCGGGCTTACTTGGAATAGGTAGTGGTTTCACTAGTCCCAGTAGATTCTTATGTGAGGGTTTGTTCCTTCGGCAAACGAGACAAGTTCTCATATAGGTTAGCACATCCTCATT